TTATGCCTTATACCTTGGTAGTTTCCCTTTTCAAATTGGAATATATTTGCTTCAGATTAAACTACTTCACTTTCAAACAGAATATATATTTCTACCACATTGTGGTCACTTATCCCTAATGGTTTTTTTATAACAAAATTATTAATTAAACATTTTCATTGTATAATGCTGGATATAAAATAGCCTATCCTGTAATCAACTCAACATACTGTTCTAGGATGCCATCCCTAATACACACCAGAAACACCTGCTCCTCAAATTTCATAGGCAATTGATTTAACCAGTCCATATGCGGATTGAAGTCATCCATGATTATTGGATGGCTGTGGTTCATTCTCTTCTGATTGTTTCTTGGGGGTTAGCCTAAGAAAGACATTCAGTTTTTTACTGCTTTGTCCTTTTTCTTCTTTCATGAAGAAACTGTTCATTGGGTGCCAAATAAGATCTTATTCTACGAACTGCTACCCTGCTGTGTCCTGCATTGTAATCGTTGTCCTTTAACAGCTGCAACTGCCTCTCAATTTCCCTCAGAATAGAAGACAAAACAGAAGTGGAAAGCTCTCATGGTGCTGCATCCTGGACTACTACTTCTTCATCTCCAGCTTCCGCTTCCCCCTCAGCGAAAAGTTGTTGTAGATCAGCTGTAGAGAGGTCTTCACAGTGGGAACTCAAGCAGCTCTTCAACATCCTCACTCTGCACTTGTTCAAATCCAACTTGCTTTGCAAGATCAACGCAATGTTCTTTGATTCTTGGGAGCTCCTCTGACAGGTCGAAGCCTTTAAAATCTTGAAAAAGATCTGGGAGAAGCTCCCGCCAAACTGGAAGCAGTCCTTACTGACATCACCCCAGGCCTCCACAATAATATCAGTTGCGTTCTTGATGTTAAAGCTGTTTCAAAATTGAAGAATACATTGCGCATGCTCAGGACAAAGCCTGCGAATCGATCATGTGGTGTCGGCGCATACTCCTCCGTGCACCAATGGAATTGCGTTATAGCTAACACAAGTGTGCGTTTTAGAAATCGCATTCCCCTATTCATCAGTCGCATTATAGCCAATCTGCATTGCTGGATAGCAGAACTGACTGTACTTGACCGCACAATTTTCTCTGACCCAGAGCTGCGAGTGTTGACACATGCCTTGACTGTGAACTGATGAAATGGTTCCTGAAAATATATTGCAATTATTTAATACAGCCTGAAAAGAAGAACAAGTGCCAAGCACTATGTGAAACATTTTAAATTATGCCATAATGTTGCATTTTTCTTCAGAACCTACATTACATGATTAATCAAAGTGTTGAAGATGCTAAAGGAAGGAGAGCAAAATAAGTTTTCTCATTTCAGTTGCAAACATTCTGAAGTATCAGTCTTAATTATGGTATTATCAGTCCCTTTTAACAATGTCCATGATTCTGTAATTATTTTCAGAAGGTATTGAGCTTAATGGTGGACCAGTAAAAGGATATTTCACTGAATATGGATTGCCATTGGAAAGCATAATTATTACAATGAGAACAATAGGTTAATTTTGTTCCCCCCAAAGCTGTCTTTCTATCCTCTTTTCTGTTAATTTATTTTGAACACAATTTTCTAGCATATTGTACTATAGCGTGTATGCATGATATATTAAATTTTACATGCACCTGTTTGTTACAATTACTGCTGAAAGACAAGCAATTGAAGTGCAGCATTCAATTAATCTAGCATGTCAAATAAAAGGCTAATAGTAGTGTTGCTCTTCAGTGACAGCTGTTTCCACAACTTTGTCACGTACTGTAGTTTGTAGCTAACTATAATTATCCTTTTCTTTGCATCGGTTTGTTCCCTTGTGAACAAATTTCACAAAGTTAATTATCTTGTTTTTTTCTGGCTCATTGATGTTACGAGTAGCTTAAAATTCACACTGATTCTTCATCCATTTATTGCACAGTACACTATTACTGTCAACCTGTTCAACAAAGTTGAAAATGTGCTAGCTCATAGAGACATCTTTATAAATTCTCAAACTTCAATATGCACTTTTAATCTTGTAATACATTTGCTTGGTTTAGAAACAGATTGTTATTACTTTGGCAGTGCAAAATGCAAACTGATACATAAAACATCTCCTAACAAGGCTTCAAATATTGTTCAGCCGCAATATATACTTTATGGAAAGAATGAACTTGTAACAGGGGCAGGGTAGAATTGCTTTTCAATTGTAGCTGTGGCAAATGAGGATTATCACATTTGCTTCTGATTTTAAGAATTGTAATTGCAAGATGTTATTGTAAACAAAGAATATATGGTATTGGAAAATCTACACCTGTATAAAGAAAAGGCTTCATTATATTGTAATACCAATATTAACACAGTTATTTCAGCTGTTGTTCTGATAGTATTTGATCAACAGCAACTGAGATTGTTTAAAACAAAAATCCACCAAATTTCACTCATTAGGCTTTGTGGTGTCTTAATGTAGTAACTGGTTATTCATTTCAATTCACAAAATGACACATTTAATTTTAAAATGTTAACATTGATCCATATGTCCATTTGAGTTTGCAATCTGTGTTCTGCATACTGATTGTAAATACTACTGCTCAAGCTCCTCTAATGATGATTCTATTTTAAAGTTGCTCTAACCTTTAATTAATAAACTGCCTAATTGTTTTATTCACCACAATGTTATACCACGTGTATATCACCAGTTTGCCAAAAATCCTTTCTTAAAAAGATCACCAATTTCTTGTAACAAGCAACAGGAAAAAGCCATACAGCCACTTGAGCTAATTCCACCATTCAGTGAAATTATGACTGATCTGTATTCTAAATTCATCCATATTCTTACCATTGCTAACAAAAATCCATCAATCCCAGCTTTGAAATATACTGCCTTTTGTGTGAGTTCCATACTTGTGCCAGTTTTGTGTAAAGAAATCTATCACTTTACCCCCGGTATGGCTCTGATTTTAAGGTTATGTCTCCTTGTTTTATACTCCTTCCAGTAGGAAAAAAGCTTATCCTACATCAATTCCTTCCAAAATGCAGAAATCAAAATCATATCATCCCTCAATCTTCTATAATGCAAGGAATACAAGCCTAGTTTGTATAAGAAGCATACAAACAGCAAGTGATAGATAGCTAAGCGAATCCACAACCAATGAATCATATCTAAGCTATGCAGTCCTGCCATATCTAGTCATGAATGATCATGGACAGTTGAACAACTCACTGGAGGAGGAGGCAGCTCCACAAGCATCCCAATCGTTAATAATGGGGGTGCCTAAAACATCAGTGCAAAAGCGAAGCCTGAAGCACTCACAACAACCTTCCGACAGAAGTGTCGAGTGAATGATCCACTTCTGTGTCCTCCAGTGAGCCCCAATATCACAAATGCCAGTCTTCAGCCAGTTCAATTCACTCCATGTGACAGTGAGAAACAGCTGGAAGAACTGGATAATGCAAAGTTTTGCATCCTGACAACATTCTGGCAATATTACCGAAGGCATGTATTTCAGAACTTGGCCCTTTGCCAAGCTGTTTCAGTACAACTACTACACTTGGATCTACCTGCCAATGTGGAAAATGGCTCAGCTTTGTCACCAAAAGGCAGATCAATATAACCTGGCCAAATGCCAGTCCATAGTGTACTCTCTGTCATCATTAAAGTGATGGAAGGTGTCATCAATCGTGCTATCAAGCAGCAATAAATTGCTGAGTGACGCCCAGTTCGGGTTTCGCTGGGGCCACATGGCTCCTGACCTCGTTGCAATTTTGGTTTAAATATGAACAAAAGAGCTGAATTCCAGGGATGAGGTGAGAGTGTCAGCCCCTGACAGCATAGCTTCATTTGACTGAGCGTGCCAACAAGGAGCCCTAGCAGACGCTGGAGATCATCTTTAGAACAGTTCCAGGGAGGAGTCATATCGGATCAAAATTTTAATTGCTTCACTCTCCACAGATGTTGTCAGACCTGTTAAGTTTCTCCAACACTTTCTGTTTTTATTATAACAAAATCAGTTCTTGTTTTTCATATGCAGTGGTGTTTCTTTGATTTATTTACTGGATGTGGGTGTTGCTGGCCAGGCCAATATTTATTGCCCATCCCCATCCCACTCATTCCAACTATCACTGTGAGTGTCTGTTTGCAATGAGAAAGCGGTGCCATTTGCCCTTGCAATGTACAGAAAATTGTTTATCATCATCTTGCACTGAACTGGGATCTTCCAAGCAGGACACTGCCATTGACCTGTACTGTGAACTGATTCCATACTTGCCAGGTTTGATGGGAAAGTTTGCTGCTGCCATTCCTGTGGAAGAGGATTTTCCTCCTTTCATGGTCTGGATCAGAACCTTTAGCCAGGCATTACTGAACTCTGGGGCCAGCTGCTCACTGAGCTGGGACATCTCCAGGACACAGGGCAACCAACTGTACGCTTACAGCAAGTAAAATGCTGTCTAGCAGACCTCTACGTATGGTGCTCAGACCTTCAAACCCAGAAGGTCCTACTGCAGTTGAAATGTTCCACATGCCAATCCCGTAAGATTCACCATTCCACTCACGTGTATAAATAATAAGCTGAAAATCATGCGATCTTGGAAGTGACAATACCTAATACACTCGAGGCCATAATTAGGATCCAAAACAGAAGATTCCATCCATTAGCTTAGTTTGTCTCTCCATAAATGATGTCTGACCTGCTGAGTATTTCCAGCATTCTCTGTTTTGTTTTAGTTAACCAATTGACGATGCCTAGCATCATACACACAGAATAATGCACTTCTTTAGAAACCTGAGGCTTTCTCACAAATGTAGAGCTCAGATTTTGAATTTTGTATTGATGGACAAAGAAAATATATTTAAAATCTGTTTATAAAATATTTTATGTCTCAGTTTGTACTTTCTTGTTGATAACCCATTCAATTAGTGTGTCCATGTGATTTGATGTAGCCTAACATAATGACATGCAGTCTTATTGGCTTTAATCGTTTGACTGTAACCATTTTGTTTCCCAGGTTGTTATGTTTTTCAGGAAAGATCAGATTACTGGATGTCGGAAGCTGCTTTAATCCATTTTTGAAGTTTGATGAATTTCTAGCTGTTGGCATTGACATTGTGCCTGCAGTGGAGGTACGTTATATAAATATACATATAAACAGTATTTTAGAAATGAACGTGGGTTAGACACAAGCAATTGTTTGGAAGAACAGGACCTGATTGGAGCAGACTAACAGAGATGTTCAGAAGATAGGGCTTGATTTTGATCAACTAGTTGTCTTTTCTGCAGATCTGATTGATAGGGATAAGACAGTGGATGTTCATTAGCTGGATTTCAGAAAGATATTTGACCCTGTCCCAAATAACCTAAGTAAAAACAAGAGTGCTCCGAGGATACGCTAAATTTATAGGCTGAAAAGTACACAGCCAAAACCGATGGTGTGCAAAAACAAAGTTGCTGGAAAAGCTCAGCAGGTCTGGCAGCATCTGTGGAGGAGAAAACAGAGTGTCAGACCCGCTGAGCTTTTCCAGCAACTTTGTTTTTGTTCCTGATTTACAGCATCTGCAGTTCTTTTGGTTTTTACTGATGGTGTGCAGATAATTTTCAAAATGGAAGTGCTGACTGTGAAGTTCCATACAGATTAGAGTTGTAATTAATCTTGTTTATAAACTTTGGGAATCACAGAAAGGATAGGATCTGATCCAAGAGGTTTAAATTAGTAGATGAGTGCAAAATGAGTGCAGTCGCAAATAATACTAATTAATCAATGCACAATAATCCAAATGACATGCTAGGTCAATGAGCAGTGGTTTTGGTTGACGTTCAGACACAAAGGTAAAGCCTATAATCCAAAGAATTATCTTGGCAGAGTTTCTGCTTTGGCTATAGTCAAATTGCTCTCATAATTGTAATAATTTTCTAAAGGTTTTTTTGCCCAAGTTTCCATTCAAACTCGTATGCCTGTTACTAAACACAGGATCTTCTTTATACCATAACAGAGCAGTGTTATAAACATATTCTACAGCTGAAAGTTTTCCTTTATGTTTAAGCGTGGTAAACTTTTGCAATTTTATTAATACAATAAATCTGCATTTTTAATCCTTTCTATCACATGATGAGTCCCATTTTGAACAACTGAAAATAATTTTATTGAACTTTGGTTACCCGTTTAGTAATTTAGTTGATGGATAGTAACTCTTTCTTAGTAGATTATCTTGTAAAACTATTTAAAAATGTTGAAAATTCCTATAGCATCCATGCAGTAAAAAGAAAGGGTGTCATTTTTAAGAGACTTCATGAAGGTCTTTAAGTGAATGCAATTAGTGGAAAGGACCATGGGAGTCAATTCAGTCCAGGAATGCAGCCAGCTTTGTGGGCAGGGCCAGCTACAAGTGAAATGTTTTTAAAGGAGGGCTAGAAGATTTTTTTAAAAATGTAGCTTCTGCTTGATACAATTTGAGTTTGAAGTTTGTCAATCCTTTATACTGATTTGGATGATATCGAACGTGAATCCTGGCAGAAACATTCTTCTACAATTTTTTTTGTTGGATCCAGACATTTTGATAGTCAAAGTCAGAAAACAGCATCATGGCTTTGAAACATCCTTATAGCTGGACATTGATCATTTCAAATGCTTGCTTCTGGGTCAGATTCTCTTTTTAAGAAAAGACAGAGGTTTGACATCTTGGTTTTGGAGCCTTCCATTTGGTGTAATCTTTGTAAAACATCAATGAAACTTCCTCACATTTCACCTTCCCCACCCAGCTTTGCATCGTCCACAAGCTTGGAGGTTCTGTATTATATTTAATTCCCCTATCTAAATCATTAATATATATTGTGACTAGCTGGGGTCCAAGCATTGATCCCTGTGGTACCCTATCGGTCTCTGGCTACACTCAGAAAATAACCTGTTTATTTCTAATGTCAGTTTCCTCTCTGCCAAATAGTTTTCTATCCATGTAAGTATTCTGCCCCTAATCCCATACTTTTTAATTTTACATCCTATCTCTTATGTGGGACCTTATCAAATGCCTTTTGAAAGTCCAAGTAAATCACATCTACTGGTTCTCCTTTATCAACTCCACTAGGTACATCCTCAAAAAGCTCCAGTAGATTTGTCTAGCATGATTTCCCTTTCATATATCCATGCTGACTCTATCCAATCCTGTCACTATTTTCCAAGTGTTCTGCTATTAAATCTTTTGTAATAGACTCTAACATTTTCCCAACTACACAGTAGTCAAACTAATTAGTCCATAGTTCCTTGTTTTCTCTCTACCTCCCTTTTTAAATAATGGAGTTACATTAGCTACCTTCCAATCCATAGGAATTGTTCCAGTGTCTTGAAAGATGACCACCAATATATCCACCATTTCTAGGGTCACCTCTTTAAGTGTTGTGGGATGTACGTTATCGAGCCCTGGGGATTTATCAGCCCACATTAAAGACTCCTGTATTCAAGACTGTAATAATAGAAGTAAATGGCAGACTTGTTAAAGAACACTTTGTATCTGTTTGCATAGTGGAGGTACGGGACAAAATACCAGCAATAAAAGGAAGCTTAAACATCCATTAAAACAATGAACTTAATAGATTTAAGCTAAGAAGAGCAATGATGCTGTGGAATAATCTCCAGAACGTGATCATTTGCACCTCAGAATATTAAAAGAAGTAGGTAGGGAAGTTGCACAAATGTCAACCGGAATTTTCCAGTTTTCTCCTGATTCAGAAATAGTAATTTGAGGTTGGAATTTGAAAATTTAACTCCATTTGGTTAACACGAAGGGCAATAGAGAAATCGGGTAGGAGGCCCATCAGTTCATCATTAATTTTGAGAAGGTTGGTTCACTTCACACAAAATATTAGTGACAACGCTACATCTCTAAGAATTAAATGTAATTTTATGACACAGGTTACTAATTGGTTTGGAGGTAAAAGACAGGATTTCGGTATAATGGAAGTGTTCTCTGATTGGAGGGATGTAACAAGTTCCCCGGGAAACTCAGATTTTCACCACATATGTTAATGGAGACTAATGAATTGGGATATATGTAAGTTTATAGTTCATCTGAATTTATGATGTACTGTAAATTATGTAGATAAGAGTAGGGAATGATAAAGGAAGATTTCTTAATGGTGAGAGAATAGGAGCTGCAGAAGAACAAAAAGATTTGAATATCTATATCCCTGAATCACTAAATGTTATGTTGACAACGTCTACCCAACCTCATCCCTCTGCAACGTGGACTAGATCCTTACCAAAGATGTTGCAAAGTTGTCAGATGACTGCAGCACAAGACATCTATTGAATCCCTCTATAACCATAGCCAGTGTATACCACTTCCACCTCAACAATATTAGTGCCGCAAAAGCATTGCATAACCGTGTAGATGGTCAGAAACTAAAGCATAATCCTGATGCATCGTTCGAGGATGTGACACTAGATCGGACTTTGTCCCTTTGGGAATGTTTTTAGAAAACAGAGGCAAAAGTAAAAAACGGAAACAAACTATTACGATTTGCTGGATCTATGTGGGGTGTTGCTGCTACCATAATCTGAACCTCAGCTCTTGTCCTTCGTAACCCACAGCAGAGAACTGTGCACCTATCTGGCAAAGGTCACCACTTGTATCCTGTTGATACTCACTTGAATATAAGAATGTGCATCATATTGGAACCTTGCACTAAACACATGTTCCCTGGTTTCCTGTCCTCACAAACATTACTCCTGAACATAACTACCGACTGATTAAAAACCCACAAACTGGTTGAAACTATCAATGCTGCATCTCACCTATTTCCTAAGAGGAAGCAGTAATGTGGCAGCTATTGTCTCTGGACTGGTAATTCAGGTTAACATTCTCAGACAGGGATTTGATTCCTACTGCAGCAGATGGTGAAATTTTAATTCAATAAATATCTGGTATAAAAAGCTTGCCCAATGTAAACACTGTCAATTGTTGGAAAAATCCATCTGGTTCAGTAATCACCTTTCGAGAAAAAAAATCTGCTGTCTTTACCTGGTCCAGCCCACATGTGCCCCCAGATCCACGACAATGTGGTTGATTCTTACCTGCCCCAATAAATGCTGATCTAGCCAGCGACTTTGGCATTCTATAAAAACATTTTTAAAAATACTCAGCATCCCCAGCATTGTATTGATCAAGGAATTCATTAACAAATGATAAATGCTGTCGAGTGTTGGGCTTTGAACTACCATGGTGAGTGGTCCTTTGTAACAGGTTCAGGACAGGACAGGGTCTCTGCATAAACAACCTCTGTCACTAAATCCTTATGCACTTGTGGAGAGACACAAAAAATGCTGTAAATGACTGAGGAATATCCCTTCCACAGATTAAATGACAGACCAATCACTTAAACTCAGCAAATAGAGAAACATATAAGGGATTTGCATTTTCCAAATGTAATTACTAAAAACTACAGCACACTTCAGAAAAATGTTCAAAAATAAGGACTAATAGAATGTTAGCCTTATTCTGAAGGGAGTTGGAATACAAAAATGAGAAATCATTTTGCTCTCTGTCTGAAGAGTAATTGTGTTCTTTCATGCAGTCTGTATGTTATAAAAGGGGCAGAGAAAGGGAGCTCAGAAATCCAAGTTAACATTCTGAACCTTCAAGCTGAGAAAGCATCGGAAACACATCTGATGCCTCTTTTGTTTAAACATTATAGAACAGTTTTTATCAAAGTGGGGTTCAGCAGATGTCTCTCTTGATTGTATTTTTCTCCTCATTGAGTAATGGTAGATTTTCAGGGTTAGGATTTACTGACCTTTATCTCTCCCTCTCTGTAATCTTGGGATTCTGAAAGGTAAGTGGCTTTGGTGCTCAAATTCACATGGTACCACTTACCTTCCTTTGCTCCTCTGGTCACAGGTTGTTTCTTTCCAGAGCTTGTTGCTAATGGGCACAGCAGTGAGGTACTGTAAAGTTTATTAACAGAAAGTGCAGGGAGAGATAACCTGTGATTGGGGAAGTTTTGGGAAGGTGAGCAATGGCACATGAACATGGGTCTGATTGGGAGACGTTGTTGATTGATCGTCAGGCCAGCAGACTGCTGGTTGGACACTGTGTTTGGTTGAGGCCAGTAACCTAATGGATGTATTTCACAGATGGACAAAGGAGTGAGTGGGGGTAGGGGTTTTGGGAGGAAGGTTGCTGAGTGAGTGGGTTCTGCGGGGAATTAGGAAGAGGGGCTGCAAATTCATATGTTCCATCAAACTGGCTAATCCAGTGAAACTATTATTATAGATATACATTTACCTGTAATGTATAATTGTAATGATTTACAAATGTGTTATCTTTAGAAGGGTTCAGTAAGAATACAGAAAAAGTTAGCAAATTTGAATATGGATTCAGTACCAAAAAAGGTTTAGGAGCCATTGCTGTGGACTGTTATAAGAAAAATGCCAGTATACTGCCACTGTATCCATATGGATATCTAAGAAACCTAAAACAAAAACAGAAATTTCTAGAACAGCTCAGCAGGTATGGCAGCATCTGTGCAGAGAAATTAGAGTTAACGTTTTGGGTCCGGTGACCCTTCTTCAGAATACCATTTTGGTTTCACACTTGATTCCCAGAGTTTATGCATTTACACTTAAAACGCACCCATTACCTTACAATTAAAGCCTTCCTTGACTATGTCACCAAATTTGGTGTTTTAAATTTAATTAAGTTTAAATTGACATAAATCCGATTCTTAATCTATTTCATGTTTCTCAGGCAGCATGTCAGCAGTAGTGTAAAAGATTTTGGGCAACTTGTAAACAAGGATAGAGCTTTACCTCATTACTAACATAATTTGAGACAGAAGGTGCATCAAGATAAATATCAAAAATGTTTCACACCATGATACTGAAGAAAGAAAACATGAAGTAAATGTCTCTTGTCTTTGTTGACATGGCCATATTTAGAATTAGAACCGGGATAGTAAAGGAGATGAACTTGGAAGGAGTAGGGGACAGTGATACTGAAGCAGGCAATTTTTTTGAATTGTGGTGCACAAACAAAAAATTCAGTGTCCTAGAACCGTCAGATAATTAAACAGTGGTAAACATACTCCATTCAAATGGCTATTTCCATTTTATTGAATTTTTATCAAATATGCTATGGGATTTTCTGTACTTTGTCTACTCTTTACAATCATGATTACCAATTTATTTTGGTATTTTCAGGCTGAAACTGCACCATTCTCAAGGGCAAAAGCTAGCTCCAAATGTTTTTAGATTGAACATTTTGGAATAGTAACATTCTTCAATCTTAAACTTGAGCACATTATTTCTTTTATTTGCATTTGCATTTGCATTTCCCAGTAGTTCAGAATACTCAGCCAAATAAAGTTTGATGTTTCACCGTATATATTTAACGTGTCGTAACACTTGGCACCTTTTGACAAATTGTACAATATCCTCTTGGTTTATCATTTCACAACTGCATGATCTCCATGTTCTATCTTGATGGTGTGGATCCTTGATATCTTTGTTCACAAGAAAATAATTTCCGACATATTATCCTTTTGAAGAATCAGAATTTCAAGAACTTCAACTCTGCTTATCAACATATTTGATAATATATACTGCAGAGATTATATCTAGAATATTAAAATACTCATGCATTGTGCTGTTGCAATTAGAATAGTAACTCCAAGAAAAACACAAGCATCTTAATGGAATTTCACCCTGGAAATGCTTTGTTGTCTTGTTGACTTCAGAGTGTATTCATTGGGTAATATGAAGAAATGCTGGGAATTTTTGACACTTGTTGACACCAAATGAATTGTAGCAGTTCAAGAAGGCAGCTCATCTTAAGAACAATTAAGTACTTGCAATAAATGCTGGTCCAACCAGTGAAGCTCACATCCCTGAAATCAAATTTTAAAAAATGCTAGCCAATCATCCCCGCATTGCATGAACAAATAAATACAAAAAAAAGTGTCCTCAATCAGTCCCACTGTATCAGGATTCAATCTCATGAACCTCTACTCTTTCAATGGCAAGCATGTCCTTTATTAGACAAAGGAACCAGTGCTGCACATAATAACCCATTTGTGGTTTCACCAGCGTTCTATACAATTGAAGCAAAATTTATTCGCTGCTGTATTCAAATCCTTTCACGATAAAAACTAACATGCTCTTTGCCTTCTGAATTACTTGCAGAACCAGCATGCTAGCTTCCTACCAAAGTGGATAACGTCAGACTTATTCACAATGTAATACATCTGCTATGCACTTGCCCATCATCTCAGGCTGCAGAAATATCCTTGAAGCCTCTTTGCCTCTTCCCCACAACTCTCATGCCTACAGAGAGGCAGATGAAACCCACCCTTTAAAAATGACAGCCTGCACTTTGTGTTTTCAAGGTGGCAGGCTGATTTGGGAGTTGGACCAAATGATCCAGGAAGAATGAAGGAGGCTGCTAATTCTTGAAGTAGGTTAGGCAAAATGCCTTCCGAGAGACTCCCGCAATCTGTTCAAAGTTTAAAGATAAAGACTAAAGTATGAAATATTCTTCCTTTTTCCACCTTCTCACTCCCCTCACTTTTCTCATCCCATCCATGCCATCAAATACCCTCTACCTACCTCTCCATGACCCCAACATAGTACATGCCAACCCATACCCATCTACACATATCCCCTCCATGATATCTCATACTTGCTATCTTGCCAGTCAACCCCACGGCTCCTTATAGTCTCTATGTCAACTCAGCGAATCCATCTGCCCACCTGAACCATTTAGAGAGACTTGGGCAACTAGGGATGGGAAGTAGGCCATTTACTACAATGTAGAATGTATTGTTGATGAAGTACTCCACAGCAAGGCCTGGACAACAACAGGGGCTGAAGTTGATATGCATCTTGTGGCACATAAGTGCCAGGCAATGACCATCCCCATCAAGAGATGGAACTGACTTGAACCTATATACGAGCATACCCCATGAATGAATTTTAAAAATACACTTTCTATGCACAATCATGCTACTTTTCATGATCCAAAATAATGCCTTACCCACACCAAAGGGAAGCTTACCTCCGTCAAAGTTGTTCAGACCCTTGACTTTCTAAAAGAAATGGACTGAAAACAAACCTGCTTTTACCTAGTCTAATCTCCATACACAGGGTATCACACTCCAGGGACTCAAAAAAACTCATTTCATTGGAGGCAGCTGAACATTTAAATGCCTCTAGAAACTTGTGTGAACTATGGACCACACCCACAAAAATGGGAGATGAGGTGTTTGTGGTGGGACTTGGCATTTCCAACTTCTAGCATTTTCATCACAGCACATTCTCCTTCAAGGTGAACATCTGACCTGAACTTCTCCATTCAGTCGGACTATACTAAAATGTTAGCATAAAATATATATTGCACACTGTGTTTCATTACCTGAGAGTTACATAGTATTGTGCCATGCCTTGGTAAGATTTTATGAACAATATCTAAGTTGCCATGAAATAATCTTCTAAATAATAATCTTTTGTTTTTGTTTTTCAGAGTGTATACAAATGTGACTTCCTCAACCTTCAGCTGCAACAACCCCTCCAGCTTGCTCAAGATGCAATAGATGCCTTTCTCAAGCAGCTAAAAAATCCAATTGATTCTCTTCCAGGAGAGCTGTTTCATGTTGTTGTTTTTTCACTTTTGCTGTCTTACTTTCCTGCCCCTTACCAACGCTGGATCTGCTGTAAAAAAGCTCATGAACTTCTTGCACTCCATGGTCTGCTTCTTATTATCACCCCTGATTCTTCTCACCAAAACCGCCATGCTTATATGATTAAGAGCTGGAAAACTGCCATTGAATCATTAGGATTCAAAAGGTACAAATATGTGAAGTTCTCCCACATGCATCTCTTAGCTTTTCGAAAAATTTCTCTGCAGACGACAAGTGATTTAGTCAGCAGAAATTATCCAGAGATGCTATTTATTCCACAGGATTTCAATCACATAGATGAAGAGGAACACCCAGATGCCAGTTGCCAAGATAGATCAGAAATGGAAGATGACCAGATAGCTTACAGTTTTTTGGAGCTACCCGATGCCCCATATGACTCAGACTCTGGAGAGAGCCAAGCCAGCTCTATTCCATTCCATGAAATGGACGATCCAGTTTTGCTTTTAAGCTAACCTAGGACTTGTCATTTGCTACCAGAGCTGCTGTGTTGCCAAAATAATTCTGCTGCATTATATAACTTGTATAGTATGCAAAATATGCAATACAGTTTGCACATAGAAAATGTGAAAAGTTTACATAGTGGAATACTCTTTCTATTATCTGTTAGAAGATGGAAGTGTTTGAGGGATAAACAAAATATACACCTGGTAATATACTTCAAAAGCAAGAACATCAGTGTAAATCAACAAAAGAAGCTGACTCCTTAAAAGTCAAAGTAAATGTCTGATTCTGCAGTATCTTTTTGTCAGCTTTGAGAATTGGAAGTTACCCTAGTACCTTAAATTCAAAGGTTTTACGAGTGACCATGCCACTCTATTGATAATTGCAGGGGAAAACAATAAAATTTTTACTGAACAATTAGTTAATAGAATTAAAAATTAGGAAAATGTATGCCAAAGCAAAAATGTATTTATGATTTCAGACATAATGGGCATTCTCTGTATTTTATCTTTGTGTTTCTAAATTTCACTTAAATGATTGCATTGTTGCATGTTACCAACTTGTTTGCAGCCAGGACCTTGACTTGTATGGAATATCAATTCTGAAACAAGTGTTGTTTACCCCTAATTTTGTTGCTTGACAAATTTGAAAGGAAAAGGCAAGACAGACTTCTTTTAAGAAGTTACATTTCTGCTGGCTGCCTATAGTTAGGCTATAATTCACACTAATTCTGTTTGTAACTTTGCAGTTAGTCTCTCAGAATTCAATGTTAAATTTTCTTGACAAGCAACTTATTGTGTTCAGTTTTTGAACAAACTGGCATTGGTCTTTTTGAAAAGTATATGCCATCTTGTCCTTGTGATCTTTGGCTGATGATCTTTCAAGAAAGGAAAGTCATTGTAGTGAGGAGAGTAATCAGCATCTGTTGTAAAGCTGTGGTAAGTAAATTGAGGAACAAAGCAAGAGCCTCTTTGCAAATTATATGCCACAAAAGAGAATGGTTGCCTGAAATTTGTGTGTTGTATACATCTGTGCATAGTCAGTAGATTTTTCTTGTTAGTGTTCTTTTCTAGCATGTTGAACAGACAGGTAAATGCATGCATATTATCCTGTTATTAGCAGATATACTTGTCTGAAAAAAAATTTGCATTTATACCGTCAAAAGGAATGAAGCAAAAAGTGTGATTATTTTTCCTGATTGGATTATTAATTGAACATTTAAGCTGACAGTTGCCAGTGAAATCTATAGAATGTGATGGCTTTTTTAACGATCATTGCAATTGTGCTGAAATGGATTACATTCAAATTTAAAACTTATATATGCAATGCTCTTTTTAACTAACCATATTTTATTTTAGAAAAGCACAGTTTTGTCACTTCAAGAAGATTGATCTTATGACATTACGATGCAAGGGAACTTCAATTCACATTGTAGTTTTTAGCTGTGGATATCTCTTTCCCTCTCGGCATGTGAAGAATCATCTACATATATACCATATATATGACGGAGTGGATACACATTCCCAAATTATAGTTACCTGCTTCAGAATAGCTTGTTTGCCTTTTCTGTATGAGGTACCATTAAAAAATCATTTGATGCATGGAGTCTATATATGCAACCTTTCCAACCGGAGCAATTTACTCGAAACTCATTCTCCAGCCCTTTTCTTGTATTCCCCTACATTTATCATTTCAAATACATAATCAGGTTACTTTAAAAGATTTATACATTTTGTAAAAGCCATTTATGATAAAAATATCCCATGCTCTAATGACTCAATGAAGGCAAAAAAATTCTAATTTATCCTCTTTGTTCTACTGGTGGTAATTCAAATCTGTGGCCTTTATGTGCTAATTTTTGCAAAGTTTCCCATTAGCAATATTCTAATATTTCCTCAACTACATTTAGGTCCTGCCAGCAACCAGGCCTGTTACCTGCTCAATATTGAAATACATTCTTGTCTTTTAGTAGGTATTCCAAGATCACATTTAAATAGGTACAATAAACTGCTGGTACTTTTCAAATAGAGTTCGAATGAGATGACAATTGTCCAAAAGGCTATAGAAAGAATATGTTTTCCTAGAATTTCTAGTTTGCTGCCCCAAGTGTGAGGTAAAAAAATCAAATAGCATTCAAAAGACAATTTTCACAATGCTGATAGTTGTAAGGAAAACAGGCTCCCTTTCTTTAATGGCTGAATCAAACAACGATTTTTAAAATTTCTTTCTAACTTCTTAGTGCTGAACTGTTGACTGGCTAAGCAGTGTGTAGCATCCTGAAGGACGGAATCTCACTCTGCTTTGCCGTGATGATTTGGGTCTTACTTTTGAGCTAACCTACACAAATTTTGAATTGATGCAGTTAAAATCATTTTTTTTGAAGGGTTCACTTGTAACGTAACATATATTTAGTTCATTTAGTAACAGTATGTAATCATTAAATGCAATCACTTACATATCCTGTCTGAAAATTGACCTTGAATTATGTAGTATATTTCTCAATTTGCATGTTCCTAAGTGTCAAGCTACTGATCTCTACAACTGTGAAGCACATTAACAACACTAACTATAATAGATGTATGCATTTTTGCATGCTGTTTCTTTTTCAAAAGAATAAGATATTGTTGCTTCTACCACCAGCTTAAACGAGTCCCAAAACCCATTCATTCCAGCTTTTACGAGTGCACTGTATGTAAAGAAATTAAAATACTGTAGTTCATAAATAATGCAAAGATAATTCAATAACAAATTGATACTGAAATATGTTTTAATATATCACACTCAGTTTCAATTTCTGTTTTCATTCATTAATCATTTATGAATTTTATAAATGATCAAAGCCAGCAGTTGAGAAAAAGTTGAACAGGATTATGTGTTTACTTTTTAAAACAAATATTTCAGTGGCAAATTTATAGATGCAGAAGAATGCCATGATTCCCTGTGGCCTAGATTTTTAAATAGGTTCATAGCATTTATATGGAGCTTTGATAATTGCAGCTACATGGGTACAATCTGGTGGTAGATCAAAGCTATATTTTTGATCCTACTGAAATACAAGGATTTATCTCATTTTAAAAGTTTGCATTTCTTGTATACATATAATTTTAAGTTTAAGAAACACTAAACAAATAGTTAATAAGTCGTGTGTGGGTTAAATGTAGGTTTGATGTTTTTATATGACAAACTAAAAAAGCCTTTTTTATTCAAATCTTTCACAGCACAATTCTGCATAACAATTTTTGTAGTATAGATGTGCAAAAAAGATGAATATATTATTGAAACTTAAAAGGATGTTACTTTGCTCGATATTTCAATATGCACAAGTATCCTGTTCACCAGCCAAAGGTTAGCAGGTAAAATGGCATTTCGGAAATGCCACTGTGTGGAATTGTGTTTCAATGTTGCATTTTGTGAAAAGTTTTACCTCATAATGAGGTTTTGCACTTAAACCTTGTGATCTGGGTTACAACTATTTTGCTTTACATTTCAGCTGATACTCTATCTGCTCTGATTTAGACTTTAATAGCTTAAATTGGTTTTGTTCTAATTAATTTCTGTAGTGTTAGAACTAAAACTTGGCATTCCAGTGAAGATTTCAACAGCTTTTTTGTTTGCCATTCAGATTTATTCGAGTTGGTTTACTTATTTTTAAACTGGTCATGTTGTGAATATTCACCGTTGTAGACGCCAAAGACTGAAATGGCATTTTGCTTGGGGGCCATTATAGTGTGATTAGCTAGGAACTTAACAATTTGAAAAGTGTCAAATTCTATTAATACCTTTCTAATTTGGACAGAAAAAAATACACCTTAATTTATTTTGAAAACAGTAATCTGAAAGTTCTTTGTTTCAAAGAAATCCACATTTTCAGAAAGCAATTGCAAGTAACCATAAACCTTGTAAATTTTTGTTCTCCTTAAATTTTGCATTACAGCAACAGCTAACTTATTAGAATTGGAATTGTTGAATTTTCATTTTATCTATTGACTTGAGAAATATAACTAGACTATTTAACAAGCGGTTATAAAAATCTTCATCTGAATTTACCAATGACAACTTTTTAGTTAACCTTCTTATAATAGCGTTTAAAATATGAAGACAATATTCAAGTCGTGATTTCTGAAAATGTGTATCATTAAAAAAAAAGAAACTATAAATTGTAATTTGACACTAACCTCCTGCCTTGGCATTAATGCCCAAGTGTTGATTTGCTGAATGGTATGGTTGATACTAATAGATATAAAAACCTTAAACTTGTTTACTGAGTTTATCATTTCTTTAAGTATTTGCATATTTCTACATCTGTATATCTATATCGGTTGGACAAAGTGATGAAAAATTCATATTATGCCAAATGGTACCTTTTTAGTTATTGCATCAGTATCAGATCTTACTAAAATGAATGTGACCTTTTCTACTGTATGTAAAATTCATTTTTCTTACTGGAAGTGCTTCAAATTATACCTGTTGACAATGGTCACTTAATATGGTGAAACTGCATTGTAATATATCTGTGGTTTTCTGAGTGTCAGCTGTGTAGTTGCTAAGGCAATAAATTTTCAAGGTACATTACTGTGCATTTTTCTGACTGAAATATAGTGTTGGAGTATGTAGTACTCCTTTTTAGCATTGCAAACTACATATACTGACTATTCTGACGAGCTGAGAATTGATTATTTTGTCTTTAAAAACGTGTCAAAATATACAGTTTTCATGACAGCTGTTGTAACTCAGGAAAAGTGAAATATGAAAATTTAATCAGGCTTTGAAAGGATGTGATGAATCTCTGTCAGAAATCATTCTTAATGTGCCAATCTTAAGTTTGAGAAAATTGTTTCAATTTTGAAACAAAAAAGGATATCACTATTCAAATAGAAAGTTCTCTGCTAGAGTATGATGGAACTTGCCCTGAAACTTGCATCATTTCTTTCCTGCTCACCTTGAAACATTTTCCAGTGGTATTATTTAGTTCAGAATTTGCTTGTCAGAAATGGTTCTACAATATTTCATTTTTATAGCACCTTTCACAAAATAAAGGTACTCCTAAATATCTTACTGCCATTAAGTAATTTTGGCCTATGTGACTGAATTTTACCTTGCCTAATGTGCCAGGAGTAGGGGGCTTGTGAAAGCATGAGAAAACTGGAAGCTGGGGTTGTCCCATGTGCTATGCAATTTTACCTTCACAGTGTGACATCACAAGTAAGCCCTTTGCCCAGGAGCCGGACTGACAGCTTCCAGTCAGACAGGAGAAATCCAAAGGAGGCTGCAAACTGAGGCCGGGTTGTGGCTCAGAGCTGAGGTTAGAATAGGGCTAAAGGCCTCAGTGGGGGTGGTGTCTGTGGGCAGGTGGAGTTATCAGACACCTAAATGAGAGGGCCCCAAAGCTCTGGAATGCGCTACCTACACTTTTCTACCACTCTGCTACCTCCTTAATGACAGTCCTTAAAAATCTATTCCTTTGAGCTCACTTTCATCATCCTATTTTATATTGCTATGATCCCCATAGAGAACAACTTTTCAGAAAAAAGTTCATTTCCCAGCAACCATTGATAAATGGAAACAACAGTGCACAATTTCACATTTTGAGATTTTTACTGAAACAAACTAAAGTGAACATATATTTAATATTACTTAATAGACAAATAATATACCGAACTACAGGAAAAGTAATTCCCCATTGAGTAATAAGCTCAACCAAAGTATTTTATGCGGCGATCCCAACAGATATGTAGCCATGAAGATTCAATTCAAAGAGTATCCTCATTTCAGGAGCTTTCCTACTACTAAGGCAAGTCTTTCTGTGTTATTTGAACATCATTTCACTCGGTTTTCTGAGTATTTCCACATTGACTTCTGGCAGCAAGCCCCATAAATGCACAAGTTCCATCTCTTCAAAAAGACAACCAGTTCCCATTTTCATCCTGTTCACTGCTACCATTAAAAAAAATGGTGTCTTCTACCTTTCGTAGGAGCAGCTGTTTCCATCACCCTCTCATTGGTTTCAATTTGTGCATGACTACTTAGAAAAAACACATGCTCCTGTTTTGAGGCAAAATGTGAAAACTGGTTACTTGATTCTCCAAAAGTTCCATTTAGAAATTACATGGGCCTACTGTGTAATTTAAGCCTCTGTTCTCTTGAATTTAGGAGTATGAAAGGGAATGTCATTGAAAAGTATGTGATTCTGAAGTGGTTTCATAGCCTAGACATTAAGAGATTGACTCCAGTGATCAGAGAACATAAAACATAGAGCTACATTTTCAAGTTAAGGGGTTGATCACTTGGGAATGAGATGGGGAGAAATTATTTCATTCATGGTGTTGTCAGTCCTAGAATTCTATGTTCCAAAGGGTTGTGGATGCACATATGTTGAATAAAATTAGGACTGGGAGCAATAGATTTTTTTGTGTCTCAGAGAATCTAGAGATATGGTGAGGGCACAGGAAAGTGCAGTTGAACTTCACAATCAGCCATGAATGACTGAGCAGATTTGATGGGCCACTTGATCTACTCCTATTTCTTGTGTTCTGTCTCCAGCCACATCACTCCCCATTCAGAACATTCTGCACCACAGTAATAATTTTTCTACAACACAAATAAAATTGTAAACATTTTAATAATTAATTTACTATATGCAGTACAGATACTTTTCCCTTGTGTGAGAGTTCACTATTAAATATTTGTCTTGGCAGCATTATATGGCTTACCCTTACATGTGTGATGATTTAAGTTCTTATGTCTGGCTTGTGAGAGTAACTTGAGTCCCAACTCACTTGAAAATTAGAAGTTCTTTTACTACTTTCAATTCTTCCAACCCTGTGCAAAATGTAACATTTTCATTTTGCAAAGATTGTGCAGCATTCCCACGTGCTTGGTGAAAAACAAAAACATAGGAGATAGGAGCAGGAGGAGGCCATTTGGCCCTTTGAACCTGCTCCACCATTCTTCACAATCCTAGCTGATCGTCCAACTCAGTTGCCTAATCCTGCTTTCTCCCTATAACCTTTGATCCCATTCACCCCAAGTGCTATATCTAGTCACCTCTTGAATACATTCAATGTTTTGACATCAACTACTTCTTGTGGTAATGAATTCCACAGGCTCACCACTCTTTGGGTGAAGAAATGTCTCCTCATCTCTGTCCTAAATCGTCTACCCCGAATCCTCAAACTGTGACCCCTGGTTCTGGACACACCCACCATTGAGAACATCCTCCCTGCGTCTACCCTGTCCAGGTCTGTTAGAATTTTATAAGTCTCTATGACATCACCGCCTCATTCGTTTGAACTATAACAAAAACAATCCCAACCTAGTCAATCTCTCCTCATATGTCATTCCCGCCATCCCCAGAATCAGCCTGGTAAACCTTTGCTGCACTCCGTCCAGAGCAAGAGCATCCTTCCTCAGAAAAGGGTACTAAAATTGCACACAGTATTCCAGGTGTGTTCTCACCAAGGCACTGTACAACTGCAGGAACACATCCCTGCTCCTGTACTCTAAACCTCTTGCAATGAAGGCTAACATACCATTTGCCTTCTTTACTGCCTGCTGCACCTGCATGCTTACCTTCAGCAACTGGTGTACAATGATGCCCAGGTCCTGCTGCACACTCCCCTCTCCCATTTTACAGCCATTTGGGTAGTTTGTACCATGGCTTTGCCCTCTGCTCTTTGTAAATTCACCAGATTTTCATCCCTTGGGCTTCCTAAATCCATACTCCATTTCTTTTAGCATAGCTTCATTCAATTCTGTATGTATACAGAGGATCAGTTGGCTAGATGGCTGGTGAATGATGTCAGTAGAGTGAGTTTAATTCCTGCACTGGCTGAGGTTACCGTGAAGGACTTTCCTTCTCAACCTCTCCCTTTGACTGACTCAGTGACCCTCAGGTTAAACCACAACCAGTTATATCTTTAATGAGAGAGCAGTAGTATTGTCTCATAAAACTATGGCAACTTCATCTTTTTACAATTCAGTAAATTGAAAAACAACATTCTGTAATTTGCATATTACTAGAAGCCTGTTATTTGGTCCTTCTCATTATTTCCAAAATTTTTTGATTCACCCCAATCTAGTTGGCATGAGTTCTTGCCCTTTATCAGAAGTCCACAGTTCAAACAACTGCCACAGTTGATGAACATAAATATATTTGCCTTGTTGCAGCATTTTTTTTTCTGTTCATTTTGGGATGTGGTCATCGCTGGCTGGCCAGCATTTCTTCCCCATCTTAGTTGCCCATGAGAAGGTGGTGGTGAGCTGCCTTCTTGAACTGCTGCAGTCCTCCTGCTGTGGGTTGACCCACAATGCTATTAGGGATGGAATTCCAGGATTTTGACCTAGCAACAGTGAAGGAACGGTGATATATTTTCAAATCAGGATGGTGAGTGACTTGGAGGGGAACTTGGAGATGGTGGTGTTCCCATATGTCTGCTGTCCTTGTCCTTCTTGATGGAAGTGGTCGTGGGTTTGGAAGGTGCTGTCTGAGGATCTTTGGTGAATTTCTGCAGTGCATCTTGTAGGTAGTACACACTGCTGCTACTGAGTGTCGGTGGTGGAGGGAGTGCATGCTTGTGGATGTAGTGCCAATCAAGCGGGCTGCTTTTTCCTGGATGGTGTCAAGCTTCTGGAGTGTTGATGGGGCTGCATGCGTCCAGGCAAGTGGGAAGTATTCCATCACACTCCTGACTTGTGCCTTGTAGATGGCGAATAGGTTTTGAGGAGTCAGGAGGTGTGTTACTTGCCGCAGTATTTCTAGCTTCTGGCCTGCTCTTGTAGCCACTCTGTTAATATAATGAGTCCAGTTGAATTTCTGGTCAACGGTAACCCCCAGAATGTTGATAGCGGGGGATTCCGTGATGGTAACACCATTGAATGTCAAGGGACGGTGGTTGGATTTTCTCTTATTGGTGATGGTCATAGCCTGTCACTTGCCACTTGTCAGCCCAAGCCTGGATATTGTCCAGATCTTGTGGCATGTGAACATGGACTGCTTCAGTATCTGAGGAGTCACGAATGGTGCTGAACATTGTGCAATCATCGGCGAACATCCCCACTTCTGATCTTATGATGGAGGGAAGGTCATTGATGAAGCAGCTGAAGATGGTTGGGCTTAGGACGCTACCCTGAGGAACTCCTGCAGAGATGTCCTGGAGCTGAGATGATTGACCTCCCACAATCACAACCATCTTCTTATGGGTCAGGCATGACTCCAACCACCAGAGCGTTTGCCCCCTGATATCCATTGATTCCAATTTTTCTAGGGCTCCTTGATGCCACACTCAGTCGAATGCAGCCTTGATATCAAGGGCTGTCACTCTCACCTCACCTCTGGAATTCAGCTTTTTTGTCCATGTTTGAACTAAGGCTGTAATGAGATTCGGAGCTGAGAGGCCCTGGCGGACCCCAAACTGGGTGTCACTGAGTAGGTTATTTCTGAGCGGGTGCTGCTAGATAGCACTGTTGATGACACCTTCCATCACTTTACTGATGATGGAGAGTAGACTGATGGAACTGTAATTGGCCGGGTTGGATTTGTCCTGTTTTTTGTGTACAGGACATACTTGGAC